CGCTGCTGCTCATAAAAGACCTTAAACCTATTTTCAACAATGATTTATATATATAAATTAGAAAATTAATAAACTCATTTGAATGGAAAAAAAAAATACAATTACAAAATACATACTTGTTTTGCCCTCTTCCATTGGCGCGTAGACCGGTTGTCATCATGTACTGGGATCCGTCGGCGTCCACACAATGCACCTCGTGAGTCACCGCCGTCTTTTTCAACTCCCGATAGGCGGCATAGAGGTCGGTAGGAATGGGAGTCCTGCATCCTCTGGACTTCTTTTGTTCTTGTTCAAACAAATCCAGAGTCTTGTTCAATGTGGTCTGTACCAACGCTCTGCAGGGCAGGAACCTAACACCTTTGAGGACATTGTTGTAACTCTCTGACATATTCGTTGTCAGAGTTCCCCATCGACGTCCTCCATCTTTGTATAGGGTCCACTTTTCAAGAGGAATTTTGAAAAGGTAATCGTATGCGTCCGAGTTACATTTATGGAGTTTCTGTCGACTCTGCTCAAATTTGCGGCGAGAACACAGTGAACCCAACCTCCAACACAAACCCAGGACTTGTTTAGTCCGGTACCTTGAAAACACGTTGCTCCGGAGGTGTCGAAGGCATATCCGATGAAATGCATGGGGTTCGTGCCAAGTCTCCAGTAATTCAACAGCACTCAATATGCCGTTGTCCCTGTCGGAAAGAAGACATATCGATCTGCCGGGGACGACATGATGGCGCATATGTGTTAGGAAAAAGGACCAGCTAGCCGTGCTTTCTTCGTCCACAATCGCATACGCGACTGGCAATAGACGCTTATTCGCGGTCTGTGCTATGGCAACAAGCAGCTTCCCCTTGTACGAACCTGCCCAGTTGGACATATGTTTTTTTTTTATGAGACACTATTGTAAATTAAAAAATAAAATATTAATTTGCAATTAACAAGTAGTTTCCCCTTGTACGAACCTCGCAGGTGCGTGCCGTCGATGCTAATAATCGGCGGGCAACGAACGAAGGTTTGAATGGCGGGGCCGAATGCCCAGAAGACAAATCTGAATTCTCTGTCTCGAGATTGCTTCGCCATTTCTCCACCCTGCCATTCCCACTCAACGACTGTACCGGAATTCTCCCTTTGAAGGGCGGCGAAAAACCTGCAAATTATAAAAGGTAACCATAAATAAATAAATAAATAAATATAGTTAAAAACAACGGGCACGTAAATACGTTTATAATTTATTTTTGCTTACTGAGGGAGTTGTGCGAAGTTCGTTTCCCACGTGCCATACAGACGATCAATGGCTTTTTTTCTCCCGTGCCACGCCTTCTTGTAGCTGACATCGACGCCCCAGGCACTTTTTACGTCGGCCTGGACCATTTCCACACTATAGGTCACCTGCTTCTGAATCTTAGCCAACAAAAGATTTGAAATTATGGTGGCGGTCACATTCTTGTGGTCATTTCTCTCGAACACCTGCATGCAAGTGTGGCTATCGGTCCATTCGGTTACCTCCCACATGCCGTGATCCCGTTTGTTAAGACTCACCCGGGCCTTCCATATACATGGTACAACTTCATCTGATCTGCACACAACTTTAAACGACTTTTTGTTGGAATCTTTTGTCCGGACCGCCCTAAGTTTCTCGACATTCCAGGCATTAATACCAATCCAGGCTTCTTCCTTGGTATGAAAAACTGTACCCAATCGGATAGTCTCGACACGCCCATTCCAGGTTGGCAAGGCATACTCGTCCCTGTCTACACACGACGAGTCCCACTCACCCATCTCGCGATAATCGTAGAGGCCTTCATTTGGAAAGGGGTGTTCTTCAATGAATTCTTCTTCGCTCTCCTCATTAATTGATCTGTCCGATTCGGTTTCCGAGGTCTCATCCGTGAAATCGTCTTCACCGGGAATGAAATCTTCATCTCCAACAATTTCTTCCTCAATGTCCGGTCCTCTCATGGTAAAGCTCGTTCCTTCGCCGAAATTACTCGTCCCTTCGCCGAAATTACTCGTCCCTTCACCAAAATTACCGGCATGCGTAGTCCACGTATCCTCACCACCAAACATTCCTTCGTAACCATATGATGGCGTAGGATCCTCAACCTGTGTAACCTGTGTGTTTGCTTCCAACACTATATGCAAAAACACATAGGACATAGGAGCAGAGTAGTAAATCCACGAAAGAGAATTATCATTATGCAGTCTTCCGGTAATAAACGAACCATCCTGTTGTCTCGCCATCAAAGTAATATCCGAAATTGTCCAACTATCACGAAACCCACCATTTTCGTAAATCATATCTACCAATTGTTGATATGATATTATTCCATTAATAACAAATGAACAATCCGGACGAGACATATAATTCGAAAAATTCCATAACTCACTCTGGGGAATTTTCCAGTACACATTAACAAAGTATGGACCGTTAGACGACATTTATAACCTGTTACGCAAAAAAAAATTATATTTTACAAATTACAACAAAAAAAAAAAAAAATCAAACACCACGAGAAAATTTCAATTATTATTTTACCAATCTACATTTAAAAATTCAATTATTTTACCAATCTACATTTAAAAATTTAATTATTTTACCAATCTACATTTAAAATGGCTAATCAAACACCCGAGAAAATTTCAATTATTATTTTACCAATCTACATTTAAAACTCATTTCCAACAACAACATATAATTAATTATATTTTTACTCGAACAAAAAAAAATTGTCAATTAGTTTATAAAAAACACCACAAAAACCCTAATCACCAATCTACATTTAAAATGACTAATCAAACACCCGAGAAAAATTTCAATTATTATTTTACCAATCTACATTTAAAACACATATCCAACAACATCATATAATTAATCATATTTTTAATCCAACAAAAAAAAAATAAAATTGTCAATTAATTTAGTACATTGCCACAACAAAAACCCTAATCACCATAATCCAACAATAACATCAAATTCATAAACAATTTGGATAAATATTCAATTAACCAAATTCATAAACATATATTAAACAACATTCAAGATTTTCTAAACAATACTCAATTAACCAAATATATCTCTTAAACAACCAAAAATTAATATTACATTATATTAAAATAACAACTAACCTCTTCTTCGACGATTGGTTGAAAATTTATTTTTTTCCCGGGAAAAGCTTCAATTCGCCAAAAAATCGAGCAAAAAACGAGAGGAGAAATGAAATGGGAAAATTTGTTTTTTTTTTTTAATTGCAGCTTCAATTCGCAATAAAATCGAGCAAAAAACGAGAGGAGAAAATGAAATGGGAGAGGAGAAATGGGAGAGGAAATTGGGAACGAGTCATATTTATCAACATAAAAACGGATTTTCAAAATCCGTTTTACTCGTTTTTAAATGAAAAACGGATTTTGAAAATCCATTTTAGTCAGTGGATGTATTATTATTATTAAATTCGACCGTTATCATAAAAAAAAAAAATCAAAATTAAAAGCGGATTGTGAGAATCCGTTTTTCAATTAAAAATTTAATTAGAAAAACGGATTCTGAAAATCCGACTGTTTTATACATTTCCACAACTTTTTTTTTTTTGTTTTTTTCCACAGATTTTTGTTTTTTTTTTTAAATAAATAATGCACCCCCTCACTGCTACCATCAAAGATATTCATTGTATCTATTATATAAATTGAAATAATTTTCATGTGTAGCTATTAACATATTGATACATATTGTTATTAATATATTGATATATATATCCATTATTATTTAATATCTAGGATAAATATGACTGGGATAACATAGAAAATTTGACAAAATTTAAGATATATTTTTGAGAATATTATATAATGTTTTAGATTATTTAAACATTTTATTAGGTTGTATTAATACATTTTAGGCATACAAATTTTACTCTCTTACACAATTTAATGTTCATGTCATTTTAAATAAACACTTCAAGACGGTACACACCGGCCTAAGTTCTGCTGAATATTTATAACGGGTTTGGTTTTATCGAGACAAAATAATAATATAATATTATTCATGGTAAACTATGTTCATGTTGCATCACATTAATGTGATTTTTTCTACAAAAAATAAAAATATTATTGCTTACTTATGAATTTTTTTAAACATTATTTTTTTCTATTTTCTTTTAGTAATATTTTTTACAATCTTTTGTAAGACTTTAATTTTTATTTTATGTAATATGAAATCAATAATTGATCTAAATATATTATTTAAACTTTTCATACTTTTCAATCAGTTATTTTATTTCTATTTTATCTATTTTTATTTTTACATTTAGTAATATGATATCAATTATTTGAAGTTAAATATATAAAAAATTTACAATAAATTATTTTATTTATACTAATCTATTTTGTTTAATATAAATTAACAGTTATGGTTATAGGTTAATCACTAAAATGATAACTAGAAGTAAATTAATATATACACACACATACACACATATATATATATATATGTGTGAAATTGTGTTTAAACACCCAGATTAAGAAATTTCCAAACTAAGATTTATTTCTATTTAGTTTTGATATCATTGTATGTTTTTTATTTAAGTTTTCTTATTAACTATTAATTTTTTTGCTTTTTAAAACACATGAAAACATTTTTGTATATTATTCACTTATATATAATATTAAATGAACCTTTGTTTTATAAGCTTCATTTTGACACTCATATATATTGTATGTATAAATAAAAAATAATATTTAAAAGATGTTATTTAATAGTGATTTAAAGAATTAGTCAATTATGTGTTGCAAATTTAGAGATGCAAACAACGCCACGCACGCGGTACACAAATGGTTAGTTCACAAGTTATGATGTTCCTCTTTCACCCCCGATACCTACATGGCCAATCGGCCAATTCAATTGATATTAGAAATCCGGACAAGGGTAATAAAGGCCATAAACCTATTCTATTAGTACTGATTTTTTCCAGTCCGCAAATCCGGTATTCTGCCGCGATTCTAATACAGAAAAAATGGCGTTCATCGCACCTCCCAGGGGCGGAGTTACAGCAAACTTGACCTGGGCTGTAGCCCAGGTAGATTTTTTGCTCTTTAGCCCAGCTGGGATGCAGCCCATATATTTTTTATATAAGGTTTTTATATTTTTTTCTTTTTAGCCCAGGAGACTAGTACAACAAACATAAAATGAGCCAACTAAGCCCATTACAAATAAAGAAAATATCTAAAGTTAAAAAATCCTCCCATTAAGAATGAGCCCACTCAACCAAATAACAAATAAAATACACATAAAGACAATATCTAAAAAAAAAAGCCTCCTCATTAGTCATTATTCCTCTGCTTGAATATATAATGTGAGAGATAAACCTTCCGGTGTCAATCGTCTTCAACAGAAAAATTGGGAGAATCTATCTCAATTTATTAATCAATATAACAGGTCCCCTCCGCCATCTAAAGGTGGGTATATATATATATATATATTTTGTCGTGTTAAAATGACTTTTAACATAATGAAATTGAAAATTAGGTTGAGTAAATTACTTATTGTTTTAATTCTTTGTTCATAAAATATAGGAATCGAAAATTAGGTTCAATTTGTTTTAGTTATTTGTTGATAAAATATTGGAATTAAAAATTAGGTTCAATAAAGAACACGCTATATTATTTTTATATTAATGTCCAATGAGATTTAATTTTTAGNAAAAATAATTCTAGCCCGGGTAGGTTTTAAATCCTGGCTCCGCGCCACCTCCTGTCGAGTTAACGCACCCGGCGGTGCAGATACCAGCTCACTTTAGCCACCGCCGCCGGCGAATTACTGTCTCCGCAACCTTATCATCGCCCCCTCGGGAGGATAAAGCGGCGGCGGCGGACTGGGTGAAGGAAACCGCGAGCTTTTTCGAGCAGGATTCCCGCCCTATCATGCTCTTCGATGGTATAAAGTTTACTTTTTTCAGCATTTTTTAACCAATAATAGGAAAAGGGCAAGTTTCAATTCAGTTTGTGGCTTTGATTGTGAATTTCCTGTCTATGGCGCCCCAAAATGATTATGATGTTTTCTTGTTGTGCGCCTAATTTCTGTAAGTAGATGAAAAGAAAAGAAAATAAATTGGTTGATGTCTTACTTTGTTAGGTAATTAGAACTGTACAAAGTTACTTGTCAAATTCTATCGTCGATAGGCTTAGCCTATCAAAGCTGAGATTTTGTTTTAGAACAGAGAGTGGACTCATGTCATTTAGTTGGCACAAGTTTATGTGTCAGCCTAACCGTTAGGAGGGTCGATTCGTCATACAATGTGAACAAACTTATGCTATCAAATGACATAATTTTGCTTATGTTGTTTTCTAAAGTATAACATTTTATAACGGAAGTATGTATATGTGTGGAAAATGTATGCTAGTGATTCTACTGGTTGGTTGTTGAGAATTGTGAAGCAAGTCAAAATTTGGCAATACATGTGCTTATTTCGTATTTTGTGTAGGTGTTTGCAATTTATGTAATGGAGGTGTGAAGTTTGTAAGAGACAATGATCGAAAAAGGTTGGATTTTCTTTTGCCACCTTCTAAGTGAAATGTAACAGACACCTACCAATCATTAATTTTTAGCATTCAAATTATTTATATGTAGCTAATGCAATATGATATGTGTACGGGAAGCTACATGCCTTCTATTTGTTAATGACTTTTGTTCATGGTCTCTTGTTGTTGAGGTATTTACATGTTCTACTCTATCATTAAGTTGTTGCTCTTAAATTTAATCTGCTTGAAGTGCCAGATTTGAGGATTTCTATTTTTTTTTTCTAACTTGGAACCAAGATGGACTGCATTAGCAGTCTGTTCTCTTGACTTTATCGGTAGTTTATTGATCTTACCTTTTGAGTTTTTCTTTTGCGCTTAAAGTTAGTTTCTTAGTTTTTGATTTAGCCTCAGTTTTCCAGGAATATTAGATTTGAAGCTCTACAAAGTGAGGCAGGTAAGAAGCTGTTGCAGAGATCTGGAAGAGCACCTGATGATATTTCAAGTGTTGTGCTCGTTGAGAAAGAAAGGTGTGTTTTTTGTGAATGTTGAAACTATTCAATTTTTCATTCACAGATAAAACTGGTTAGCAAAGTGATTGTGCGGAGAATAACAAACTTGGATGTTATTTGCAGGTCTTATATCAAGTCAGATGCTGTAATGAAGATTATGCAATACATAGATTTGCCATTCCCCCAGATGGCATTCTTTCTGCAATTTGTGCCATTGTAAGTAAATTATTTCACGAATCTAAGGGTATATAAACCGAGAATAGGAAATGATCCATTTTCTGTTAATACTCATTTTTTTATTTTTTTTTTTGCCTTTTTTCAGATTCATACGGGATTTTGTATATGAGAATATCGCAGATAACAGATACAACTTATTTGGACGCACGGATTCTTGCGACATATAGCGTATCCGAGTAATGTATTCAAATTGGGAAAACAGGGGCACACTGTATCTCTTGATAGTAAAACTATTCATCTATAAAATAAAATAGCAAATCAAGCTTCTATTGCTTGCCGATGTTCCCCGCAAATGTCTGAACGCCACGTCACTCACATTCACGGCAGATGTCTGAATCAAATGAAGAACATTAAATGTCGGATAAGAGTTATTCGAATAGAGTCATTCGCAAGTACTGTTCGGTTTGATTTGCGAAAACTCGACTTTGGGTCGTTCCTTTTATTTAAACGAGTCTAGCTCGAACAAGTAATCGAGCTCATTTATTACAAGAGTTTGAGTTTGTTTGCAAATAGTATGCAAATCATGTCTGCAGACCATTTACAGTTTTGAGATTGTTAAACGAGTCGAGTCGAGCCAAGCTGAGTTATGAAATGTTTGACTCAGCTAGGCTCGAATAACACTCCTAAGTATGTAGGACCAATAATTTCCTATTGGCAGAATATGCTTTACTTGATTCTGGCAGATCTCGTGAGGGCAGTAAAACTGGTCAATTAGTATGGGATTATTAGCAACTGTGAAAGTTATGTTATATTCGTGAAATTTATGTTTCTGGCAAAACCCGAACCTCCCTGCAACAAACACAACAAATTTAAAATGCAAAATCTTTAAACATAATTAACAATAATAAGTGATTAATACATATTTGTTGTGATTAATTATTAAAATTACCTGCCATGTTTTGATTCTGACGCCATTGGTGGTTCCGTTGAAAGTGCAGTTAGTTACACTTACACTCACGCTTTCGATTTGGTCATTTTGACCATGTTCTCCTAAACTCTCAATACCGCCTTAAATTTGACAAGTCTTAGCTTAGATCGTTTGCAGAATTATTAATTTATTAATCAAACAAATTAAATTTGATAATATATTACCAAAAGGCTTGATATCAACCACATAGATAGCAGCCAAACACACATATTAATGATATATATAGTACATACTTTTAAACAAACAATAGCATCTAACATATGAATTCATTTGATCTGTGAGTTGTGAGGCCAAACTTATTATAAGCCACATTTTTAATTACAGACCATAATGTATGCTAAATTGCATTACTTATATCAAGAATTCACTAATACGATAGCTGACATAACATAAAACACGAACACGATACGATTAGAAATCATGATTATAGAGACAAATGACACGATGATCACGACACGACACGGCATGACATAAAACAGGATATAAGAAAAAATAGTTAAATTTGAATTTAGCATCATACTTAAAATCAAATAAAATAGATAACATGAAAACACGATAGTGAAACACAAATACAACACGATAGCACGATTTATGATCCCTAAAATATTTCATATCAAAAGTACAAGCTAAGGAGATGATGTAGTCTTTGGACATTATTAAATAACACAAACTAACATTATTTTATAATACATATTGAAGGTGTGATTTTTTTTTATTTTTTTTCAGGTTTTATGGCAGTAGACATTTGACAGCAGGCTTCGTACGAGTAGCTCTGCCCTGGGCATTGTTACAGGTGGCCGTGACCTTATTGGCTGGGGTCGTTGGTGTTATGTACACCCGATCCAGACGAATATTGGTGCACTCAACCCTCTGGCTGCACCTCAGGCTAATCACATTACTCGCAATGGATGTCCCGCTTATTCCAATAAATGACACGTCACTTATGGCAACTGCTGATGTCTGCACACGAATTTGAATTAAATATAATAAGTCACCAAATTTAATAGGTAACTTACATATGTATCAATTTTCGGTTGTAAATTTCGATTAAAATTGATACAACATCAGTGTCTCCAAATTAAAATTTTGTTGAAATTTAGATTTTTTTTCTTTGAAATAGTTTTTGAATTGATCGATCTAAAAAAAGATTGTTGAGACTTGTATTCATATCTATCAGATTTAAATTTTCCCATCCAAATTCGATTTCCTACCGAATTTTTATTTAAATAACCGATATTCTAAAATTATGGGGCTGATATTGGTTAATTCCAGACATTAATACTTTTGAAATACTTACGTAGTTTTGACAGTTCACTTTGAGAGGGCAATAAAATTGTTCGATTTGAATTGGATTATCCACTGCCACAAATTTTATTCCTTGGAAAGAAATCTTTCTTGCATATCCTTTTCCTCCCTGCCCACCAAGTCAACAAACGTAGTCGTTAAGGAAAAAGAAAGTCAAAGTATTAGCCATTAAGTAAACAATAAACATAATTAATTGGCTAATTGATACTACCTGATTAGTCTTAATTCGTACTCCAGTTAGTGTATTTCTCAAAGTGCAGTTTCGGACACGTACGTTTTCCACAACGTCAAAGCCTCCGCTTCCTAAGGAACCGATGCTGATATTATTTGTATTTAAGGACATAACAATTGTTAATTAATCAGGAAATTAAAATCATAATTTTCTTCACACGGAATATGTGGAAGACTAGTTTTGGCATGCCAAGAATCATTCAAAGGGTATTGGTCTGTAAAAATCGGACCGAATGTAATCTTTGCGTTCGTGCTTGAAATTGATATTATAATATGTTTGCTGAAGCAGAACGACGATTATAATTTTAATGGACTATATTCAAGCCCAAATTCTACCATTTGTAACCCGTTTCAATCTGAAAGAAATTGGGGGAAAATGGGTGCTGACCCACTATCATGAAAGACACCATGAAAGAAGGGAAAAGTCCATATGAAGTCTAAATGGGGTTCCATCCCAAAACCAATTGGTGGAAGGAGGAATAGCCCATTAGTCTTATAAGGTGGGTCTATTTTCCATATATGAACGATGTAGGACAACTCGCAAGTCACAAGTGGTATTCTAACACGCCCCCTCACTTGTAAGTCCTTCGAAAGCCCCAACCCAACTGGGCTGGGTGTCCCAAGCCCTACTACAAACAGGCTCCCATAAACGGTTACGTGGGGATAAACAATGGGTACGTCATCACACGGTCCAAGATAGAACCGGCTCTGATACGTGGGGGATAAACAATGGGTACGTCATCACACGGTCCGAGATAGAACCGGCTCTGATACCATGCCCTACTACAAACAGGCTCCCATAAACGGGTACGTGGGGGATAAACAATGGGTACGGCTCTGATACCATGACAGAAACTGGGGGTAAATGAGTGCTGACCCACTACCATGAAGGACACCATGAAAAAAGAGAAAAGTCCATATGAAGCCCAAATGGGGTTCCATCCCAAAACCAATTGGTGGAAGGAGGAGTAGCTCATTAGTCTTATAAGGTGGGTCTATTTTCCATATATGAACGATTTGGGACAACTCACAAGTGGTATTCTAACACAATCCTTATAAATATTTTTAGTATTTTATATTTTATTTTTGGCATTTATATACATCGCTAATACATTGTTTTGAGGGTAATTAAGAGTTAAATTTAGTGTTATACTAGATATATTTTTCAGTTAAAGAATATTTGCTTTCTAGATTTTAAAATCCTTAGTGACAAATATATTTAACTGTGAATGAGCGAATTATTATTTATTCGAATGTGGCCAAATCTGTTAATCCAACTTAACTTATATAATTGTTTAAAATTCAGCTTAATTTCGTTCACAACCAATCGGGCTTCGAGAGGTGAGAAAATGATTCAACCTGATGCCGTGGCCCGGCCCGCAAGTTATTCCACTTACATCAATGTTGGAAGATCCAGCACTAATTGCAATGCAATCATCACCTGAAAACGGGTTAAGTTTTTTATTATTTTTTATTATTATTATTATTATTATTATTATTATTATTATTAATTTCTTTGTTGAGTTGGAAAGAATATATATACCTGTTGCAATGAAAGAATTTCTAATTTGTACCCTTGTTGAGCTGGAAATATCAATTGCATCAGTATTAGGGCTATCCCCAGGGGCGATTACACGAAGATTAGAGACAATTGCATCATTAGTTGCCATGATTAATATGTGCCTTCCCGGGCCGTTGACTTTTGAAAACCCATCTAATCTCAGCCCGTTACATCTTCGAAACATCATTCCCTATCCATCATCAAATACAAATATAAAGTTGACTAGTAAAAGTATGATATTTTTTAATATAAATATATATTTTCTAAATATAATATTAGTCGACCCATTAAGCAAATAGGCCGTATCATACACAATTTGTGTGATGTAAAATTGAATCAAGAATTAATGTGATTTTGAAATGTTATTCCTGAAATAAAGTTCTTACAATTGGTCTCCAACACAAATATAAAGTTGGCAAGTAAAAGTATGATATTTTTTAATATAAATATATACTTTCTAAATATAAGATTGGTCGACCTGTTAAGCAAATAGGCGTCTCATACACAATTTGTGAGATGTAAAAACTGAATCAAGAATTAATGTGATTTTGAAACGTTATTCCTGAAATATGAAATTGACTTACAATTGGTCCCTTGCAGTCTACACCCTGCATATACAAATATTATAGCAATATCATTAAATTCGATATATAAAAAATATGGCAAAAAATTAAATAATTGTTAAATGCCTGAAAAAAATTAATCAATACAAATTATTACATGGGCCGGGTCATCGAAGCAAGGCCTGCTGGGCCACCAAGAAGGTCCCTGACCGTCAATTACTCCTTTGCCCTTTACAACAAGTCCATTCACATTGGAGAATATGATCCAGGCATTTTTCTGTGTCCCTTTCCATGCTGTTTTAACTGGCGCAATAAGCTTTCCAGAAACCTACCAAATATTATTTTAGGAATATTTTAGGTTTATTAAACGAGTCGAGCCACAGAGCTTAAGCTGAGCCTTTTGGTCGCTTATTAAATGGATCAAGCCAAGTTGCAGTGTTAATTTATTAAACAAACACGAGCTTGAATATAATCTATTCAGCTCAACTCGTCTCAAATTACACTCCTAATTAATATCAAATGGAATAATTAATTACCAACATATAAATTTGAGATGATTTGCATGGACCGTTGAAAGTCAAAGGGTTCAAAAGGAATGTCCTCTTGGAGGGCACGATAACAACAGGGACAGTATTGGGTAGTGCCTGGCTTTGGCAAGCTGCTCTCCATGCCTTCAAAAATGCCTACAAGTTTGTACATGCAACACATATATAAAAAAGTGATTATTTAATTTACTTCACAATACCTAATTAACTAAATGAAATGTCATTTTTAAATATTAAAGAAAGTTAATATGAATGCATGTGAATACTACTTGTGCATCATCAGTTATCCCATTTCCATGTGCTCCAAAGCTCATCACGTTGAATGTTCTAAGTTTTGCTCCCACTAAAAGAGAAGCCATGCACAACATCGAGAACAATAAGCTGATTATTTTATTTTCCTGCACAAAAAAACATATGCAGTTAGCATTTAAATTTTGTGTGTGTCACACACACACCATATATATATATATATATATTCGAATTTTAGGGAAAAGAAGTAAATTCACCATTGTAAGAGGCAACATTAGCATGACCCA